TTTTTTTTTTTTTAAGGGTTATTGGGTGAAAAAAGAAATATGTAGGAGCAATCTGGCAGGGGAAATTGTCAAGAAATGTGTGAACATTGGGTTCTTACTTTGTTTTCACTGTGAGACAATTGCATCTTCTCTGTTTTATTTCCCGCTAGTTTACTCAGGCCCTCCTTCAGCTCTGTACCAGGGCCTACTATCTTTCGGTTCCTGTGAGTACAGCAAATCGGGCTCAAGCTTCTGATTTGATTTTTTGTAAAGCACACCCCCCAACACCCCACCCCCTCCCGCCTTCCCTATAAATTTTACTGAGCTTAACAGTAACAAATCTTTATAGATTAAATTGAGCTTGCTGGCTTAAACTACCCATTAATCGTATTTGTAGCAGCTTTTTAATGTACCAGAGCAAAGTGTGTGGTTTTGTTTTGGCGGGTGGTGGGGGAGGGGGTGGCAAAAAAGGCATTTCATCTTTCTGCTTGCCTTTCTTTCTGTCGTTCTTTTTCACTCACTCGCTGAATAAACATGTGCCGGGTGGTGGAGACTCCTATTGGACCTGAACTCAGAGTAAAGAAGAGGTAGTCCTTGCCCTCAAAGAACTCATAGTCTGGAGGGCAGAGACATCCAGACCCTCGGGCAGGAACTCAGTCTGACAGAGTGGCACTGTGAGAGCATCAGAGAAGCCCCCACCTGAGCAAGGGAGGCTGCCGAATCACAGCTGCATCTCACAGCCTGTCACTTAATCTGAAAAGTATTAAGAAAAAAAGTTAACACAGACATCACTTAAACAATACATATTCACTTTTTCCCCTACATTATTTCTATGACAATCCTTTCTACACTATTTCTTAGTATTCTATAAATTGCACTATTGACCATGCTGCTCCTCACATTTGTAGACAGTGTTGAAAATACTAGTTAGTAAACAATAGTCCTTTCCTTTCTCTTTAATGCTTTGTTGTCCCGCAGTACAATAGTCCTTTCCTTTCTCTTTAATGCTTTGTTGTCCTGCAGTTACTTATGGGTTCGCTTTTGTGCCTTAGACACTAATGGCTTTGTTTAAAATCAGTGCTTTCTGTTTCTGAAAGTCTAATACGTATTGTTACCTATGAGTGATGCATGTTACAAACCAAAATGTTGCAACAATCTGGGATGTTCTGAAGAAGGTGGAGGGAGATGCCTCAACTACAAGAGGGAAATTTGGTGTGTCCTGAATCCATCAGGTGATCTAGCAAGACAGTCGGGGAGCATAGGAATTCCTCTTCTGAGTGTCGAACAAAGTAGCTGGGAAAATGTGGTTAACCTATGATGATACCTCTCTTGATCAACCATTACACTTTCATTGTACATCTATTAGGTACTTTTTCTGGTTCATGTGGACGAATAAGAAATGGTTCCTTTCAGGAAACTAGCAAAGAAGACTGCTATGACTAATGTACTTTAAACTCTTTAACAATATGTGTCATACACCGTTAGTTGTAGAACTATATAGATTGTAAGTACTAAAGAGATTTGGTCGAAAGTAAGTTTACTGGGGAAGAGGTGATCCATCCACTAGACAGTGGTTACTTTTCTCTACAATAATGATCAATCTAGGACCATGTGTGGAAGAGGTGCATAGCTTAACTATGGTCACTAGGTTATGTGCGTGCACACACACACACACACACACACACA